TGGTTCTTTTCATCTCGTGTCAGGACCGGTAGCTGCCTGGCCGATGACCCATGTATTGAGCATGTTACTAGGAATAGGGTCGTGATAACGATAACTTGAGCTATGTGATTGGGCGTCCGATGAAATGAAACGCCTTGGTGATAATGCCAACTAGATAAGAGTATTCAGTCATGACATATTCAGACATGGTATCTGTTCCACTATCTACACACGAGGATCAAGAGGAGCAATCAAGGGGTAGATTAAGCTAGCTTCCGTTATCTTGGAGTTCCTAGGTAGATTCCCAGGTAGGTATTGATGCCATATGTAAATGATCATCCCCCTTGGATCTCAACCGTACGTTCGTAATTGGTGACGCGGTCATGCTAGGTGGTTGATTCAACTCCTCATGTAATAGTATCTTCAGGTATTTATCGATCGTTAGATCCGGGATCATTTCCCGATTCTCTGTAACGGGAACGGGGGTTTGTAGGGATTTCATCCATCATCTTCATGTCAATATCGACATTGGTCTCTGAGCACGCCATGAACTGCTAGACAGAGACAGACAGACGGAGAGAGAGAGAGGCGTGTCTACCTCTTGCCTCGTACAGCTGCCAGGCTGCCCTATGTCTAATTTACGATGCCTCTTGTCTACCTAGTTTTATCGTTACTGAAAGGACTTCACATTTTCCGTCATGCAATGGGAGTTGAACGAGTGAAAAAAAAATTATTATAGCTCTACGAAAAGATATCGGCCCAGCTAGTCTGAGTCCATGCTAACAAGACGACCTGGCCTGCCTTCGGAGGAAACTGAGAGCTAGATTTCTGCCGGGTATGTTCGAAAGAGACAGCTCTAAATTCGCATTCAATCATTTGGTCCCCGACCAGTTGTGCAAGTAGATAGGAGTAATAGCCACCGAGGTAGTTTCCTACCTATGTTAATTGGTCCTCATGACCGCCTCGGGCCATTCTATGCCCGTCTTTTCCTTGATCTCATTCAAACAGTCAGGATCAATTGATGTTAGTATGCCAGAGAGGAGGTGACCATCTCTGTGTTGATATAGCTCGGCATAGATGGCAACTATTCCACCCTGCTCCCTCGTTCGAAGTGCCACTTCACGAATATAAGGGGCGTCTATTAACTCACCCCTCATCTCAACCGCGCATTCCATAGAGGAGACGAGTTCTATTCCCTTTTCTTTGTTCGCTTCCATTATATCTGGCTGTGGTGGAAACCATACTGAGCGATGCAGCCAGGACCACATCAACGCCCGGTTGATGGCCCTGGTCTGCTGCGTTGAGAGAGTTCCATTCCTCCAGGAGAAGTCTCCTTGAATAATACCATAGTGTAACTCCAAGCGTTCCACCAGGAGCTGAGCATGAATGCCTTCCCCCGGATAGTAGGTAAACTTCCCAATATCACCAGAACCATCCTCTTTTCTCTGGGCAAAAGGCAGTCCATTGTCAAGCGCCAAGTATACGCCCAACGCCTGCCAGATGTACCCAGACTGCACTTCATTCCTCACGAGGGGGGCGCAGGCGTCCCGCATCTCCTGTAACGTAGGTCGCTGTCGCCTATCAAATGACAAGAATCTCCTGGGCTGAATGTGGAAGAGGGCAGCCATCCTGATTAACACCTTCTTAACCACCAAATCGGGCTCCAAGCGGGCCATCGAGAGTAGGTAGGCTACGTGGAAATTGACCTGATAATCTAGAATGGCTTGGCAGACAGACGCGCCGAAGTTACTGGCACGATAAGTACCAAATACCTGGTCTCTCTCTAAACATCCTAATATATATAAACGGCGGAGACCTTCGGCCCAGAAGAGTTGATTGGGGACTCGTCGAATGTTCATCTGGCTTAGGAATCTACCCCCGCGCATGTTGACAAGTGATAAGACTGTGGCCAACAAATCCGCATTCCATGCGGGTCCGAAAGACTCAACTTTTGGAGTAACTGATGGCGGGACAGTTGTAGCGGAATACGTAGTTAGGAATTTGACATGTCCTGGAATGGAATCAGACTTCACCACCCAGGATTTGTGTCGTATCAGCTCGCATCCTTCAAGTTTTCGGCTCTTTATCATCCATTGAAAGGCCCTAGCATCCATCTCGGGAGACTCCGTCGTATCTCGCGATAGGAATAATCGGAGTCTAGAAAATTCCGTTGAATAACATAAAGGTTCGCAGAGGGAGATCATAGAGGCCGAATTCAGTTCCCCAACAATAAAAGTAGCGGGGTCTTGTAGAACCCCCGTTTGGGGTAAAAAGAGCTCATCGACATCAATCTCGCTGTAACCTAGGAAATCTGCGATTCCAGTATGAATTACACGCCCGCCTTCGTCCATCACTTGGCGCATCCTATTGCTCATAGACATACTCCAATTAGGAGGTAGGGCTTCCGCCTTGGGCCAAATGTGGAGACTGGGAAAAGTCAATCCTCTAATGTATTCAAGACCGAAGCTGTCCCTGAGAAGATCCATGGTCCGTTGAGATTCGAAGACGCTCATTAACAGCACGATGGCTGTACGACAGTTGGGCGAATTCATACGTTGCCGGCCCCATTCCACTAACTCGGCAAACATCAGTTCCTCTTCCACCGTAGGATACCAACTTATGTCAATCAGCAGCGTGACCGCCTGGGAAGCGCTACCATCGGCTGCCCTGAGATATTGAAGAAAGTCCCTGGTCTCTGATAGGGTCACCTTGTTCTTGGAGGCTAATCTGCCATCGCCTAACTCTTGTGCAGTGACGCCCCCATTTTGGATTAGCCACTTCGACAACAATAATCTTTCAGTACTGTCGGGAATCACGTAAATAACTCGTTCAGGCACCCGACTCTCCCGAGCCAACTGGATGATATACGAGACCATAGTAGTACTCTTCCCCGTTGCTGGCATCGAGGTAATTCCCGTGACATTCAAGCGTCCATTCACGTTAGCCTCACTCAATCTATTCCTGAGCTCATCCCGTACGGCTATCCAAGCCGAGGTAGGGCTAATGCCGGTCTCGAGTTGCGACATGGTCGCAGATTTCGATGATGACGAGTTCTGTACGTTGTGATAAATAAAGAGCGGTAGTACGTCGTCGACTGTCTACAGCTAGGTATGTAGATGGTTCGATCAGTAGGTAGTTCACAGAATGAATGCTAGATGTGCGTAATTCAGCTAGATACAGGAGTGGTGGGTGCCTAAAATAAATTAGGCAGGCGATACCCACTTTGGACTTATGTAGGAATATCTCAGGCCTTGAACATTGAAATTGCATATATTCGTTTTGAAATTACGTTCATATAGGTAGGTAGTTTCATCCTGTAACTGATTGCAAAATGCATTGGTGGTAATAATGACATCCTTCCCAGTGGTAAATACTTGTAAGACTATGTAGTGTTGAAGCTTCACTCACTAAGATGATACGGGGTACTACGAGATACCTGCTTGGGGGTGCGGCTCTTGAGGGGCCTAGTCTAGCCTATTCTAATTCGATGATGGATAAATGGGTGCTCAATGAAGACGGAGAAGCTCAAGCACCCTCTGTAACAGGAGCTGCCTGCCCTGGCTTTAGCTTAGCCGCGGCTTTCGCTGTCGAGCGCTTCTCTTTAGCATGAGGCTGCCTGTATACAATCTCTTGGTCATTCCCTCCAACGAGACGGGTCGGTGCTAGGATATAGTATAACAGATATCGATCACCTTTATCACCTAGACGCCAGCTAGCTCCCGAAAGGTGGGATGCTTCCTTGGGCAAATCAACATATTCACTGTCTACCCCGTAGAGGCGTATACAGTCATTCTCAGCCTTGTGACCACCTACCCGAACCACGGCAAGTAGGGTATACCTCTTTGGCTGTCCTCCCGTCGTATCATATTCTAGGCATGGGCGCCCGCCGTCGCCTCGCACGTCGAAGAGCCTATGTGGCCTTACCTGAATCTCCTGTAAATCATTCCAAGTTTTAGGAGCTATGCCCTCAGCTTCGTGTCGGTAGTTGACTCGGATGACAATAGGATCATTGCTCTGCCAGTGGTGGAGCACCCCGCTCTCGTCGTCGACAAATGTCCCGAATCCGGCATTAATATGGTCACTAAGATCCCCGTGTCCCCTATATTGAACCAAGGCATCCTTAGTCAGGTTCCTCTGGCTTTCAATTTCCGCTTTAATCCATTCCATCTCGCCTTCCCTCTTGGCCATCACTACAGGATGCCAGAGCTGAAAGGGTGGTATGGACCAAAACGTGTCCCACATCTCCTTATTCTCAATCAAATTATAGAAGGAGATTAGCCTATCCTTGTACTTCTCCCTGAACCCGCTCAAGATCGCATACCGTGCCTGATGTTGTTGTTCGAAAGCCCTCGGATCTGTAAGGTCGGCCCATATCATGCACGCCAGGGGATTCTGGTCGCCTATCTGGCGATGAGGAGTGGTCACCATGGCCAATAGATGACGCGCCACTACAATGACTGCATCTAGTGCAGCTGTCTCTCTAGCATCAAATCGATGTTCACCGGCTCGCTCAGCAATCGTCGGATTATACTTGACAGGCAACTGTTTAGTAAGCACGTAATTCTGGGCAAGTTCATTGTCGTGATGCTTGTTGCGCAGATCGCCAAGCTTGTCGAACGCGACAGAGGTCGAAGGGGAAGTCATCCTGATAATCTAATATTCTCAAAGACTCAGGTATGTTAGTAATGAAGTTGGAGGTGTCGATGTAGGTACATATGTGGTTGTTGGTTCGGATTGGTTTTGGTATTGCGGTACATAGACAATACCTGGGGGCATTCTGGGTAATGCGGGTAGGGCTGTATGGACGGGCAAGTACGGTGGGGCATTATGCACAAAAAGCACAGACACTTCATTAGACGCAATTTGATTGGTAGATCCGATATGAAAATCTGGGGTGCATTAGATAGAGGCTGCAGCAGGGGTTGATTCCTAATTGGGAAGGTCCACCTGCACTTAGGTAGAGTACATGCGCAGGCAGACAATCACCACAAATTTGAAACTGAAATCATTCTCCGTCTTTCAAACATCTCTCAAGTTCAAATCTTCGTTTTCGTTTTAGACTCAATAAGCAATCGACAAGCCTTTAGGTCCCAACCTACATACCTACATACCTACATACCTACATACCTACATACCTACATACCTACATACCTACATACCTACATACCTACATACCTACATACCTACATACATAGCGAGATGGAGAGACAGAACGAGGAAAGGGCCATCGCGCCCATCTCCAGGAGAGATCAAGTCGCGGCGTTTACGCAGGCCAGAGACGATGCTGCGGTTGCTCGTCGGGAGGAAGGCCGCAGAAGGCCGGACATCGAGGCCCTTATGCCTCCTGAGATGAATAGGCTTCATGGGCGACAAATCATCCGAGAGTACGACGGCAATGGCTTCCAGCATGGGATGCGTGCTCGTGATGACCCGGCGAGCCTGCATAATTACTTTTATGCACCGGGTAGAATGGATGTGGCAGGGACGCCGAGAACCGTCGGCGGCTCGATGCAGGCCTTCTGCCAGAGTGAAAACATAAATCCCGATGGGGATCTAATTTTTGCTCAGTTCAGGAAGGTGGGTAAGTCCCGCGTTGAGAAGAGGTTACGAGAAGCCAATTGGTTGGCGAGGGAGGCCGCCGGCTTCGTTGAGCCCGAGGAGGAAGAGGATGTGTCTATGGACACAGGTGGAGGGCAGCCCGAGTTGCCCGGAGAGCCACATAGTCTGAATCAGTCCATGTGGAATACTGATGGTCCTAGCCGAGGCCGTGGCGGGACCCAGCCAAGGCGGGATAACCAAGGCCGCAACAGCAATGCTCGTGGTGGTCACCGTGGCGGCCAACGTGGAGGCCAATATAGTGGCCAACGTGGTGGTTCACGTGGTGGTCCACGTGGTGGTCCGCGTGGGGGTCAACGTGGTGTCCCACGTGGTGGCTCGCGTGGTGTCTCGCGTGGTGTCTCGCGTGGTGTCCCACGTGGTGGCCCACGTAGCTCTTACGGCGGTGTTCAGAAGAACACCGGGAGGCCGGGCCCTTCGCTTGATAAGGCCCTGACGGATACCCAGCCCGGTCGCAAGACAAGAGCTCAGTTGGACGCTGAGCTCGATGTTTATATGGGTGGCATCGATACCCATTATGATGCCATGGGGTCTGGGATTGGGGCGGGCCAGGAGGATGTCCACCAACAGAGGCTGGCGGAGCAGACTGTGGACGAAGAGGGGGAATACGTGGCGGCTTTGCAAAACTTTTGGGCCTCATGAAAGAGTGAACTATGTCTATGGCGATTCAGGAAATCGCCTAGAAGCTGCTATGATGGCATATGAGAACTCAACACGACCACATGCAGTCCCGGGAAATTCCCGGGGAGAATTTCACTTCATAGTCCACAAGTTTAATTGACTTAGGATGCTTGCTTTCCCTCAGTAACCCTTATTGTTATTCGTGATGACTGCATAATTCCAGTACGTAGCTAACACGAAAACCATCCAACTCTGCCCTGTAGAATGTAATAGTAGCTTGTGACCGTTTAGAGGACTCGCGGTTCTCGTAAAGCCATGCAAGAAAACGTTTGAGTGTCTTCGAATGGATGTGATCATATGTTATTGTTAATCCAAGTCGTCTTAGTTCAGAGGAGGAGTCTACGTGGTGATCCTACTAGATAAACCACATTTGAGCTGTGCCTATGTAGGTAGTGAATTGTTATGCCCATTGATATCACATCACACTATCAATAGAATATGTTAAACATTGGGTTTAAGTCTCATGGATACCATAAAAGATCCGCCTCACTCGACATCCACTACGAAGTTAGCCGCTGTCCGGTATGTAGGCAATGATTGAAATTAACCATACCTTTTTGATATTGTCTCACGCTACCTAAAGTACTGTCTAAGGGCAAGAAACATATTATGGGCCCCTCAACGTCCCCAAATATGGTAGACTGTTCGGTTAGCACTTGTTATACTGAAAAATAACCCGCTGTCCAGAGTGCAATAAATCGCCACCACTACCCTCGTGTGATCTCAATATAATGCATATACTTTAATTTTACTATTGAAATGGCTCTCCGAAGTCTTATAAGTCCTTAGTCCTTTTATTAAGTAATAATCCTCTGTTTGATTTTCGCAATACTAGAAAAGTGACGGCTGTCCAGAGAGGAGATATCAATGTTTAAGGGCCCGGAGAGCGACGCGCTTGTTGCAATGGTCTTCCGTAACGATAGCAATATGACAGATGTAGTTTATATGATGCCATAACCTTTGATAGGGGAGAATCTATTTAATTTATTGTCACTATCCCGGTAGTGGTGGCTCTGCGGCCCCGAGACCTTATCACCTACTAGGCGGGTAGACTATGTATTGTGTATCCTATTTAATACCTATACTCATCTATTTCCGCTGGAGTATAGGTAATTGGGTCAAGCATAATAGCTATGAAGAAATCGCGGTTTCTCTTATGGCCGTACTAAAAAGGCGTCCGCTGTCCAAAAGCAAGACATCTCCTTTTTCGGAGTCCTAGGAACACCATAGTAAGCCAAAACAATTTTATGGGTATTAGGTTTATCGTAAAGGTAGTTTGGAGTGATTAGCTGCTTTGATTGTTGAGAAAATGCAGACCTTGCCTGTGCCACCTAAAAATGAGTCCGCTGTCCACATCGATATTCTACAGCACCAGCCTGTAAAATGGAAAAGATAATGCAGATAATGTTACAAGGGGCTTCAAAGAACATTGAGGAACTTGTTCAAAGTTATTGTCACTCCTCGTTGTAGAAGAATTGCAAAGTGTTGTGATATGCTTCCAAGCGAACCGCCATTTTAAATTGCGTGCCCTAGCAATTAAGATGTAACACCGCCTTACCAAGTCTTCCCGTTGGGTTGGAATACACGACACGAACGTATTGAAAGGCTTATACTCCGTAACAAGGGATCCTTGTACCTCATCCTTGTCGCCTCTGTGCCGAGTTTACCAAAACCAATGATTGGGAAGTACATGTCCGAAAAGGGAAAGAAAACGACCGTGCGGAGGTGCGGAGGTGCGGAGGTTACCGAGACAGCCGATTATCTACTTTATCTACTGTACGTTTAATTTAACGACCTACCTTACTGCTTAGACTTGTCCGATAGCACGTAACTGTTTGACCCGATGGGATATCATAGCTATTATAAATACTTAGGTAAGTACCTATAAACTATGAACTATGAGAATGACGGGAAAGGTTTAGACATAAAATTTATATTTCCTCTATGCGTGCAAGTTATTAGTGTTCGTGACATCCTTGGTTCGGGTATCGGGTTAGATTTATTATGTATAAAAAACGTAAGGGAGAATATCTCACGCATTTCTGAAGATATTAAGATGTTATATATAGAAAGAATCAGAAAAGTCTTCTCATATCACAATGGTGTTGTAGACAGCGGACGGCTTTTTACTATAGGCTCGTGATCAAGTTTAATATTTCAATTGCTAAAGCAGCTATAAACACGTTTGATACATTAAAAAAAATTGGAAAATTCTATTTAATCTGTAGGACACTTCCTACTATCGCTAGCCCGATATACGTATCACAATTGCGTTCTAGACAGCGGACGATAATTTACTAGGAACATTATGTAAGACGACATAACGTAGCCATGATAACTTCTCTAGAGATTTCAAGTGCATCATCAAACAGAGAGAAAAATAACAAAAATTCCAATATGAAACATGACTAGTTTAAACTTGAATTAGATGAGACACCCCTAATTGGACAGCGGCTTAATATTTACTATAAGGATATCCTAGAGGTTTACCTTGCTATTGGAATAACCCCCCCGTTCAAGGTGATAAACTGATAGCTTTATTTACCTGTGTCTAAAGGTCATATGAACTCCTTTTGACCATATTACCGAGCATTGACTTAATAATTGGTCATTGTGGCATGCGATGTTTCCCGTTCTTCGTCCCCGGAACCAATTCATCCCGGACTATATCTTGTATGTTAATGGTGGTAAGGAACTGAATTAGTACAGCTGTTACCTACTAAGGATGGGGGTTTGGATTTAAAATGTTACCACGGGAGCTGGTGTGCTTTAGGAAAGTGGCGCATAGTAGAATACAGTCCGCTGTCTAGAAGTGATAATGGCCCCTTGGATCTTAGATATCCAGTAGGTCATGTTATGAACAAGCTTAGCCGCTTCGTAGGATCATCTATGACCTAAGACTTTGAATATTCCACCCTTCTCAGCGAGAGGAATGCGATATAAAAGCAGCACACTATTAAAAAGACTCCGCTGTCCAGAGTGAATTGGGACGTTAGGGTCCTTTGGATTCAGCTATGATGTATGTCTAAATAGTCTTCTTGGCTTAATCAGTCTTCTGAACATTTCAAATGTCATATAGCATACTCATGGGATCGTTGGCGATCCTTCAAATACATGATACATGTCATAATTTTATACGGAACTCCAGATGTGGCAGATCTTATTGAAGCGCGGTAACCAAGAATATCCAAGGCTGTGGATATTTTCAGGCCATTAATCGGGTTGATCTTCGAAGGCCTGCTAGGCAAGTTATTTGCCTAATCTCATTCCTGTCTAAAATATCGCGACTATAATGTAACCACCTCCTAAATAGAACATAGCACAGGAGCGATTCAGGGATGATATGGTAGTCTGTAAGCTTTCACTGGATTATCTCGCCCTACCTTATGAGTCTAATTTGCATGACCTTTGATTAGGGCTTAAAACCGACCTCCATCGCCTGCACCATATAAAATAGTAGCCGCTGTCTAGTAAGATTTATTGGCAATCCACGAACTCTATCGCTTACAAGGCCAACTTCCTATATTTAAACGGCTTCCTTTATCGTCTAGATAAATGTAGTATGCTAAATACCTTGTGGACTCTCGTAAATAGTCTACTCTTCGACCACCCCATACGAAAGATGGCCGCTGTCCAGAAGCAAGTACTAATCTTTAAGACTTCAACTGCGGAGTTAGACTGTATTGATAGACTTAGAAAATCATTCCTACTATTTCAGATCAATTATCCCCGTCAGATATTACTTCTACGGTAGTTAGCCCTTCGTGTAGTGTATCACATATAGTGACAGCTATCCGGAAACAATTATTGAGCATTTATGGACTGTACAGCTGGAATTGTGTGTACCATTAGATTTAAGCTCCTTTCCTAATTGTTCCCAACATGTTCACCCCATAAAACATTCTGCTTACCGCCGTAATTAGCCCTTCGTGTATACCCCATATAAAAAAAAGCGACCGCTGTCCACCAGCAAATACTACGCATTCAAGTGATCCGTCGCCAAAAAAGATTACACCATTAGATTCAGAGTATCTTACTTACTAGGTATAATAGGTTATCATTGTTAGAAATCCTAATTGTCGCGGTAATTGGGCCGCTATGCGTGACACATATAAAAAAGGGGACCGCTGTCCAGAAGACTTAAAGCTTCGCCAAGACAGTTTATAGAGGCATTACATGCATAACAAGGGTTAAATACTTCTTCTAACTATTTAACCGTATCCAATACGTGAAATTCGTGGGTTGCGCAGCATCATAAGAGGGTAAGCCGGGTGGCCATATGGCACATTACATAGGGTGTATCCTAGCGCTTCAAAAGAGGCCATATGTCTTTCAATGCTTAAAACCCACGCGACACGAGATGGTAGAACATTGAATGCTATATGTCATTAGTTTTAGCCAAGTTAGTCTCGTTTGTCGATTAAAGAAATAATTAACATTAGGTACGGTTGGTTATCCAAAGCGATGAAACCATTTTGGTTGACGTGGTTGTAGAACGAGAATGAGCGTCACAACTGGGTATCCAGATGTAATTGTAACGATAATGACATACTAACCCTAAGGGCTCCTTCTATGGACTTGAGAGAGGCCACGGCGGTTGGAGATGACCCCTATTCCGCCTGGATTGGTCATAGTACTTAGCACAACGTCTAAATTACGCGATTTGAAGAAATAAAATATATTTTCAAGGTGCTAGAGGCTCTATAAAACCTATTAAACGTCGATTGTACCAACGTACCGCTCTGGCTGGATACAGTACGTCCTGGACAGCGGCTCAATTTTTACTATGGCCCAGACGATTAGTCAAATATCTCTAGTAGGAGAAGCAGGGTGTCATATCTCTATACTTAATACTATCCCTTAGATAGCCATGTAGATTTACCAACGTCCTAGATCGATCATACATAGTCTTGCGAGTTTGATGGTTTCTGGACAGCGGACAGTTATTTTGGTGGGAAGATTAAACTGTGCTAATTTCGGGTGTGGAGGAAGGTCTAATAGCTATTATTTGAGTAGATATGCCCGTGTTTCACGTTCAT